TTTTTATCAACGATAATCGGATCTCTTTATCGTTTTTTTGTTTTCCTTTTTGTTTTCCTGTTTATTGGGAAAAAAGAATTTCCGGGTTCGAAACCAGTTTGCGAAGCGGCTACTAAAGTGGGGCCAGCATACGTGGTGGGCCCGGTCTCGTTTGTCTTGGAGAAAGTGTCCACATTTGTAGTGGTTAAGGAGGAAGAAGAAGAAAAGAAAGTCGAGCCGCCAAAAACCGAGCCAGCTGCAGAGGAAGCTAAGAACATCGTCGAGGAAAAGAACATTGTCGAGAAAGAGGAATCAGCTCCGTCTGTCGAGAAAGACAAAGCACCGGCAAAGCCGGAAGAAGAAGAAGAAACACCAAAGCCTTGATGACTCTGTATCTTTTCTCTCTCATGTGAAAAATTCGAACCCGCGAAAGTTTTTAGTTCGAATCAAAAACTTGCATTGTATATGTGAATTCAATCGATCTTTTTTTTTTTCCTTTGTTTGATGTTGTTGCAAGTGAATCCGAATACTCGAAGAACATCCCTACATGTGTATTATTTGCATACTTGAAATTGTATTTACGCGTTTGTAAACGATCGATCTACATGTGTATTATTTGCATACTTGAAATTGTATTTACGCGTTTGTAAACGATTGATCGGTTGTGCTTTGTGTGATTATAAAAGCCTTTGTTTCTTGTAAAAAAATTTACTTTTTTTGTAAAAAAATTTACTTTTTTTGTTAATGAGTGTTTTTTTGTGGATTGTTGACTTCTTGTTTCTGGTTCTGATTGCTTCTTGAGTGAGTGTATGTTTGGGGCTGCCTTGGCTATTGCTTCATTGAAAGTTTGGCAAAATATTATGTGTTTTCATCTCCTTCAAAGTGTTTTAAGAGGATCTCTATGAGTTGTTTTCTTCATGGCCTTTAAGGTATTGCTCAATTAGGGTTGTAAGTTGTTTGAGCTTAACCGAGCCAAGCTTTCTGAGAGTTAAACTTCAAGCTGACAAACAACCTGGGTAAGTATCTTGGGATGTCCATAATTCATGGACATGTGACTAAAAACACGTACACTCATATTTTAGAAAAGGGGGAATCAAGGTTAGCGGGTTTTATCAAAATAAATCGTGTGGACACTCGTTCTCTTCCGGCCCTTAATAAAGTAGGAGATGAATCGTGGCATTCTGATATTAGATTGATTCGTTGGTTTTTGTTGAATCCTGGGTGGATCAAAATGAATACTGACGGAGCTTTTGATAATTCTACAGGATAAAGTAGTGCAGGAGGGATCCTACGTGATGTGCTGGGAAGATGGGTAACGGGTTTTATCATGCACATTGGGTTTTGTACAATTACGAGTAGGGAATTGTGGGGCCTTTTTCAGGGGCTTCAATTGACATGGGAGAAAGGCTATCGTCAAGTTGTCGTGGAAGTCGATAGCCAATGTGTGGTGAACATGAATGATCCTTGGCATCGAGAATAATTTTGGAGCTCATAAAGCGTTAGTCAATGCCATTCGTTGCTTGGCCCAAAGAGAATATTGGAGCATTACGATTCGATATGTGCATAGAGAAGTCAACTTTGCGGCAGACTATTTAACAAGCTTAGTGACCGACTCTCTTCGATCGGAACTTTCCCTCCCCTTCTTCTGGCTTGGGAGCATGGTTCGAGCATGATATCATTGGGGTCTCCTATCCTCGCTGATATGGGATAATATATAACTAAAGAATAGACCGGTCTACCACATCGGTCGGGCCAGCTCGAAGTAGAGAAAACCGAATTGGTCGAAGAATGATCGACCAAAAGGGAAGAGATCGAGCAGAATGATAGAACTGGTCGACGATCGACCTAGCGATGGTGGGCTCGATCAGATCGAGCACCCAACAGGTGGAGGGCAGTCGAGAGCGTGGCTTGAACGCGAGAAAGCACGTGGGTGGCCTTAGAAGATCCTAACGGCATGTGCAGAAGAATAATCTCTCTCCACTCAGAGGGACGCATGGCGGGAGTACATTAGTGCAGAGTAATAGTGGCGATAACCACCTCGGGCATCTCTGACACACGCACACTGTGTGTGTACGGACGGGTAGTGCAGGTAGGACAGCTCACCAAAATCCAGGCAGCTCCTAGGGCAGGTATCTCAATCCTATATATAGGAGTGAGCCTTTTTCTTGAGAGGATGAATCCATTTTTTACTATGGAAAATTAAACAAACACATACTGTCTTAAGCATTGGAGACTCTTCAACAGAAAATCCCTCCGGTGTGAGAGTTTTGTGCAGATGCGCAGCGTTCTACCGGCGAGGAAGAGGAAGGCGAACCGATTTCAAGCCGGTCGGAGTGTTTTGCATTACCACCCACCAAGTTATAGTATAATTTTAAGGCCTTCGGCCTCCTTTGTACCAAAAATAAAAATTAAAAATGAAATGGTATATATATTTTTTTATTTGCGGACGGAATAATTGTTTCTTTTATTAACCACTCACCCCTAATTTTTAAACGAATCTAACATTTTATAATTCTTATGTGATACCTAAACATAAAAATACTATGAGTGCAAAATATTAAATAAATTAACTATAAATTATATGGAAGGGAAAATTTGAAAATAGCATAAAATTTATTGAGCTCTTACTAATTTGATATATATTTAATATTAAAAATTAATACTCTCAAAAATATTAAGAACTATTTAACTCTTAATCACATTTTTGGTAAACTATTTATTATTAATGAGAAGCACTCTCTAAATCTCTATTTATATCCATGTATTATTAAAGAAGAAAGAATAAATCAAGTGCAAAATATTTTTTGTCTTTTGTATTACTAAATAATTAAATATTTCGATCATATATAAAATTTAGTTGGTCATTTTATCGAATTTTTACATATAAAATAATAAATTCATCATATCTACAATTTAGTTTATTTTTTTCATTTAACACTCATAACGAGCATATAAAAGTAAAATTAATTTTTTTATATTTATATGAAGACTTTTTTTTAGTGATTTATTTGTATATTTTAGATTAACATTAGTTGAATAGATTAACGGGTGGTTTTAGTTATTATGTTATGCCTTTTGGCTGAATGCATTTTTTGTAATTTTCAAAAAAATACAAAAATTTAAATATTAAAAATATTAACTAAGATATAATAAAAAAAAAATCAGCTAAAAATGTTTCATATAATAGTGATGATATGTATGAAAGATATGTATGAAAGTGATTTTTAAAAGCAACAATATACAATTTTTTTTTATAAATCATGTTTATTAAGTTGTGTGTTACCCTAATGTATTAGTTTTATATGTACTTTATTGGTGAGAAAGATTATACCTGCACCAACATTGATAATCTTAAAGCGATCAATTAAAAAAAGGTAAAATTGTTATATTAAGAGACCAATAGACAGATATATAAAGTTGTGTAGAACTAAAATTTCATAATAAACAACAATTTATTTTAGTTATATTTATATTATATCAAATTGATTTCATACATACATATGCACGGGTAAAAAATGTATTAGTGATAACTAATGAAGTACTCATGCATATTTGATATATAATTTTAATTGAATTATAATATTAATCGTTTATTCCCAAAAATTAGTTAAAAAAAGAGAAAAAAATAGCTGGTAGCATTAAAAACCCATATAAAAGGATTATCCCATAGGACCCTTACCATCTCTTCTAGGGTTTATCTGCGCCTTTCATCGAATACCTTTCTTCCGCCGTCATTTCCTCTCTTTTCTTCGATCAAGTGCAGGTTCTTTTCTAACCTAACGCTTCTTGTAATTCAATTTTGTTTGCGCACAACAGCTTTCTCTTGCCGATTGATTTGTTTCGTTCGTTTGTTTTTTTATTTGTTCGAAAGGTATCCATTAGCAAGTTCTGTGATTTCTTGTTTATTTCATCTCCGATTAACGAAACTTCGATGTTGTCTGCTTGAATATCGATCTAATATTAGGAAGGTTGGGACTAATTTTAATTATGTTCTAATCTCGACAATGTGCTTATTTCATCTGTGATTTTTTTTCTGAGCAGGGGTTTTGTTTATTTGTTTATTTGTGTTCGATTCGATTCGATTATACTTCTCTGAAGGACCTGCTGTTTGGTTGATTTCTCACTAATGTATGAGTAAAACCATAAATTAATGATGGGCATGTGGCGAAAGTTGTTGTAATTACTGTTCTTTAAAGGACCCGTTGTTTGGTTAACTACTTACTAATGTATGAATGTAACCAAAATTGATGATGAGCATGTGTAAAACCAGTTGTCTTTTGTCCTTGCTGCAATTCATGTATTGGAATTATAATCTGAGCTAAAGTGTTCGTTTATTTGTTTGTATTCAGTTACTGTTGTTTGAAGGACCTTTTGTTTGTTTAATTTATTGTTATGTATGAATGAAACCATAATTGATGATGGGCATGTGGAAAAGTAGCGTTGTCTTTGCCCTTGCTGCTATTCATGTATTGAAATTATATGTTTGTTCTGAGCTAAGTGTTTGTTTATTTGTGTGTATTCGATTACTGTTGTTTTGAAGGACCTTTTGTTTGTTTAATTTCTTACTAATGTATGATTTAAACCATAATTAATGATGAGCATGTTGAAATTATTTTGCCTTTGTCCTTGCTGCAATTCATGTATTGGAATTATATGTTTGTTCTAAGCCAAGTGTTTGTTTATTTGTTTGAAGGACCTTTTGTTTGTTTAATTTCTTACTAATGTATGATTGAAAGCATAATGGGCACGTGGAAAGTATTTTGCCTTTGTTCTTGCTGCAATTCATGTATATGAAATTATTTACTTAAAATGTTGAATATTTTTGCAGTATGGATTCACAGATCAAGCATGCCATAGTTGTGAAGGTTATTGGGCGAACCGGGTCCCGTGGCCAGGTCACGCAAGTCAGGGTCAAATTCATTGACGATCAAAACCGTTTCATTATGAGGAATGTGAAGGGGCCCGTGAGAGAAGGTGATTATCTTACATTGATGGAGTCCGAAAGAGAGGCCAGGAGGTTACGTTGATTGCTTTTGCTCTCAACGCATGTTAAAGTTTACTCTTGCTCGAGTTTTCTTGGTAATGTAGTGGAAAAACTCATTGGTTCTGGCCTTATTATTAGTCGATGGTTTCTTGAGTTTGCTTTTGCTCTCAATGCATGTTAAAGTCTGCAGTTGCTCGAGTTTTCTTGGTAATGTAATGGAAAAACTCCCTGGTTTTGGCCTAATTATTACTTCGTCGAGTATTTTTTGAGTGTATTTTGGAGGAGTTGTTGATGTGAGCATGAGTTGCTACTTTTCGTTTCTAAGTGAATGTTTGGCATTCTTGGTTTTCTTTGGTAACGGGTGGATATATGTGATTTTTGAGTTTTATTTTGCGGCATTTGCCTCTTTGTTAGAATATTCTGCATCAAGTGCACAAAAGAAATGGAAAGACCAAGATGTAAAAACTTGGTTGGGCAGCTTAAAGTGCACTCATGTGAAATTTTAAAAGCAGTAAATTCTTCAGTAGGCCATTTTGAAATCTCATCTCTCTTAGGTGATTCTTTTATGCCATTTCGAAATCCCCTTTTCTCGTCTTGAATGGTTGAAAGCCCGGTTGAAAGTTTGATGCCTATGAACCTTTTTTTCCGTGGCCAGTCACTGGTTCGAAATTTTGAGATCAACGACTCAAATCACAGAAATTAGATATCTACAGCCACACAGTTTGTGTACCTGATGTTGTTTAATCGTCTGTTTCCCATTCAATAAATTCGATGCAATCAGCTTATAAACGAACTTCAAATTTGGTATAAGTCTAGTTCTATTTGATTTCTCACCACACAAGTAAAAAGAAAATAGAAGACGGATGTACAATTAACGGAAGGAAAAATATATTTTGAAATAGAATATATGATTGTCTCAATTACCCTAAAAACTAGTAAGTCTATGTAAGGTAGTGATCAAAAGTGGAAGCATATGGCAAAGTTTTTTGAGTGTTGAAAGGCTATGACTATGAGTACAGCAGATGTGTTGAGATGTGTTAATCCAATGAGAGGCTCCGTCAGGATGCAAAATGACCATTATGCCCTCAACGAGCTTCAGAATGCACGATGAAATGTGATGGCCACCAAAAAGCCTCTATTTTACATATGCACGCACATCAAATGCTTTATAACAGTAAGACATGTGTGCAGACTTTTGAATTGCGATAATGGAAATGGATTTGATCTATTCTTTGTCGATCAAGTGAATATTGTGAACAAGTCGAACGAAAAACCCTTCCCAGAACAAAAATTACAGACACAAGTCCACAATTATATTTTAACTGGCCATATGATCCCTGGTGATTCCATATCGTCTGCTCAAATAATTAGTAAATCAAATGTTGCGCGCGAAAATGAAAAATGATCATACAAAAAAGTGAAACTTATTCTTTTGGAAGTGTCGACCAAGAGTTAGATAGACACGGTTGCCCTCTGGTGACCTCAATCTAAAACATAATGCTGACAATTAAATTTCAGGAGCACATTGACAATTTATAAGGACCAAAATGTAAAACTTCACAATCAATAAAAAACACTACACCCGTCTTTGTATCTCGTGGTGATTCATCACTTGAACTTAATTAATTTACTTCGAAAAATAATCTCTGTTAGTCATCATTCGCACCTTCTGTCACCAGACGTTCTTGAGGAGGGCCAGAGGCTTTCGGATAATCACCAAAATCGGACTTCATGGGCTTCGCAATGTCAACAAACAGTGTCCTGCCATCAAAAAACTGAGAATAGAGAGCTCGAAAGTTAGAAAAAGAAAAAAAAAAAATATTAATGAAGCAAGATATAATTGTAATTAGGAGAATAAAACAAATCTATGAGAAAACAAAGCCGAATGCATCTAACCTGATCGTCCATGCTTTCTAAAGCAAGCATTGCTTCCTCTTGTGAAGTGTATTGTATGAATGCGTATCCTTTTGGCTTTTTCGTAGCTTTATCCTCGACAAGTCTTACTGCCATTGAACACAAGATAATGGCATCATAATCAAGTCATAAAGACCAAGAGATAGATAACTCAG